GACGGCTACTGGTACTGGTACTGGTACTGGTACTGGTACTGGTACTGCTACTCCTACTCCTACTCCTTCTCCTTCTCCTGCTACTGCTGCTACTACTACTACTACTACTGCTACTACTACTACTACTACTACCATTGCTACTCATCGTACGCATCGTGGGCGAAACTCGAAGGTGGGCGACAAACTTTACATCATCGAGCGCTGCGTTCTTGGAATTGGGTCAGAAATTGCCTGCAAGACAAGTGTGGTAGCTCTCAGAATAGATAGGTGGTAGTGACACTGCAGCTCTGGCACGCATGCCTGATCTGAGCTACTGAGGGGGTGTCTGCGAAGTGCTGAAGAAGCTGAATGGCCGTGAGGTGACCATCGGCCAACTCAGCAAGGCGATTAGAGCTTTGAGCTTAAGAAGGGCCCTTTCGAGACCGTGCTTTAACTGCCTTCCTACCCTTCGCCGGCAGGGCGCCTTCTTCGGAGAGATTGCCGTCCTGTATGACATGCCCAGAACTGCAACGGTGCGAGGGCTTAAGCTTTGTTAGGGTTTCAGGTCAGATGGAGCTTGCGATCGACAGGTGAAAACTCAAACTGGGGTGATCGCCCTCGCTCTGAGCAGAGCTGACATCCTGCAGCAGCTGAGTGCAGAGGCTTTCCTCAACCAGAGCCATGCGGATGCACTGCCCTGACGATTGCTTTTTCGTTGCCAGGACTTAGAGCGCATGAAGCTCATTGCACGAACACAGGCCGCAAGCTTTTCACTACGACTCCCTTGACCTTAGCAGCAGTTGTCCTTGCAAATGGAGGTCTTCGGCAGCGTGCCGTTGCTTGCGGACCTGGATGCTGAGAAGAAGGTGCCTTTGAGACGACATGCACACGTACATACGTACGCAGCTACAAGGCCACCGGGTCTCCTGGCTACCACCCCACATATCTACTTACCCACCAGCTACCTACCTGGCTAACTACTACCTACCTACCCACTGCCTGCCTGCCTGCTTGCCTGCTTCCTCTACTGCCACCTGCCTACCTCCTACCTACTTACCTACCTACCTACCTACCTACCTACCTGCCTACCTCCCTCCCTCCCTCCCTCCCTCCCTCCCTGCCTGCCTGCCTCCCTACCTACCTACCTGCCTGCCTGCCTGCCTGCCTGCCTGCCTGCCTACCTGCCTACCTGCCTACCTACCTGCCTACCTGCCTACCTGCCTACCTACCTACCTACCTACCTACCTACCTACCTACCTACCTACCTACCTACCTGACCGACCTCCCTATGTACGAATACCTGCCTGCCTGCCTAC